TAATTAATTAAATTAATTTATAGACATTAACATAACGAAAAAAAATCAAAAGGTAAAATTGTAAATATTAAAATTTAAGGACCAAAAGAAAATAATTGAATTTTAGGGACTAAATAAAAATTAAATTTAAATTATAAGAAGAAAAAAAACATAATATTTTGAAGTTTAGAGGCTAAATGTTAATTATGGTAAAATGTAAGGACCAAAAGGATATTTTGCGTTCCATCTCTTTCCTTTTTTCTGATGGGACGTTACTTATAACTCTCTTTTAACTCCTTTCTTTATTTTGTATTTCAGTTTCGAAAATAATAATAATAAAAATATTCGAAATTTTCAAAAATTTTAATAATACTTTTAAATTAAAAAAATTAAAAAATATATTTACTTTTAATTTTAAATAAAAAATAAATTTGGCAACTTTTTAAAAAGAATTTAAAATATCCCTTAAATTAAAAAAAAAATGTTTAATCAAAATTTTCGCAATAAAAAGGTTTTATTGATACATTTAAATATTTTAAAAAAATTAAAAAAAATACTTTTATTTATTTTAGAGATATTTTATAAAGAATTAAGAGTTTTGGTTAGTTAAAAAGTTTTTTTTTATTAATTTAACGTAATAAAATTCAATAAAATTATTTAAATTAATAAATATACATTATACCCTCTTTGACGAATTTAAACTAATTATTATAAATATTATTTATAATTTTATTAATACTCAATGAAATGTCAGCAAAAATTTAATGCTTTTAGTATTATTTATTCAAATTTGTAATAATTGCGTTCTTTTTATTTCAACGAATATCACATAATTATTTATTTTACATTTTATCTACTCAATTATATTTCAAATAAAAAAATAAGAAACAAAAAATAATAATAATAATAAATATTTTTTGCTTACTGAAAATTCGTATTAATAATTTACTTTCAAAGTTTTAATGATAAATATATTAATAATAAATATTATGGGGTTTTTAAAATATAAATAAAAGCGACATTAGCAACTTATTTTCAAAGTTTCAACCATATTATATTAATAATAAAATATTTTGTGGGCCAAAAATATAAATAAATTTCTTTATATTATAAATAAAAAATGGTTCATAATAATATTTTAAACAAATATATTACGTCAGGAAATCTTCTAGATAGGTGTCAAACTTAATATAAGCTTAAAAACTCAAACCAATGGAATTATAATATTTAAATTATTTAAATTATTTAAATTAATAAATAAACTTCAATTTTTATTATATTAATATTTGTGATATCGATTTGATACTTGTAACGCCAGCTCTCATGTCTAAATTAGTTTATAGGTTTTAAGATGTCGTTGATGTACCTATTCTGGAAGTTCTGAACGATATATGAGTTTACATGGGGACGTAAAAAATGGGATCTACCAACTGTGTTTGACCTAGGATAATAAGCTCACGAGCTTAGTCTTACTTCACTGTCGAGAAATGAAAGAAGACTTTCATCTCCAAGTTTAATTTATGCGTAGCTCGTTTCTTTTTGGGTGTGTTGCAGTGTATGGAAGACTAAGGGACTCGGTTAAAAACTACTTCCTAAACTTCTCGGTAGGATTCAGTATAGAGGAAAGGATAGGGAGTGGGACTGAACGATGTTTTTTTTTGTCGTTCATTTCTTTTGATGAAGAGGTGACTCGTGCTCTTCAAGAAATTCACGAAAAGGCCTCCTTGAGCCCGAGTTTACTGGAGATCTTTGAGGGGCAGTGGGGCACCCAATCAAGGTTGTCACCCTAACCCTTTAGAGATAGGAACGAAGTAGCGAGACCGATAGAGAGAGAAACATAACGAAAAGTCTTCAAAAAAATGTGTCTAAGGCTTCAAACTCATTCGAAGTTGGAGAATGCATCAACAAAACTGCCTTTCATATGGATCGTCGTGGCATGAACTTTGTCAATAAATTTCGGGACTTCCTATTGATCTCGATTAGTTCCGACCCTTTTTTTTAACTAAACGTTAGAGTCACACTCTTTAAACGCCCTAAGAAATAGACGTAAGTCATTGGTTCCAATCCGAGAAACGTGCTATATTTTCCACGAAACCCCTGCTCCTATCTTAGTATTGATTTTTCAGTGAAGGATATAGATACGAAAAAGGTAATATGTGTCTTACTTCTCTCATCACGTCAATCTCGTACAAAATATCTACAACATGAACACACGCCCTTTGGTTGATAAGCCCACCTAGGACTCAGCCTAGTCGGCTCTAGTCGAGGCAAGCTCACGAACATTTGGGTCCATGGTATGTCTTGATCTCGACCTATTTGATTTCGAGCTTAGTTTTGCAGTCCTAAATATTAGTTTTGTTCAATTCGAGCTCAAATAGTACTAAAAGTTACCCATTTTCACTTAAAATTAATACAAAATTACAATAAAGGATTAAATTAATACAATTATTATCTTAAAATTAGGGGTAAAAATGTAATTTCCTTTTATTTGAATTATTGCTTTTAAACTTAAAGTGCAATAATAATTGAGCTAAGTGAATGACTCGAATGAGATGATGTGTACTAAGAACAAACCAACAACCAAAAAGAAAAGGAAAAGGTATATTATAATAACTATTATTTTATTTTTTATAACTAATTTTTTAATGTTTTAATTGTAATATTATATTAAAAAAAACTTTATGCTGCCACGTGGACCTATGATAATAATTTAGTTGCTTTAAAGAACATGGGAATTCATTAATTAATATTAAATATTTCAGAGAAAAAATGTCCAAAATTAAATTGGATTGAAGTTTATTTATTTTATGTAGTTTATTGAGTGATTTTTTAAAAAGATCTTGTTATATTTAAATAATTTTTCGACCCCGATAACGTTCGATTTGTGTGAATAACGTTGAGAGTTACGTTTCATTGTTAAAAGAAAAAAATAAGAATCGATTAGAAACGGAAGGGCAAAAAAAGAATGTGAAGGGTTGCACGAGCAAATATATTTCATAGTATAAATTGCACCTATTCAAGCAACGTGCCATCAACAAAGGATAAATTATAAATGTGAGATTTCACGTCGGTTGGAGAGGGGAACGAAACATTCCTTATAACGGTGTGGAACCCGCGTTTTAAAACCATTAGAGAGGAAGTCCGAAATGGAAAGTCGAAAGAGGACAATATTTGTTAGCAGTGGGCTTTAACTGTTATAAGAAAAGGCAAGCTACGATTGAGTTGTTATAAGAAAGGGCAAGTCCAAAGAGGACAATATCTGCTAACGGTGGACTCGGGCAGTGATGAGTTTGAGCTGTTACAAGAAATTACTAAAAACTTAAAGGGCAGAAGAGGAACGGTAAAGGATACACCAATTCAATGTTTAGTCACCTCTAGTCAAATAGTGGCATCTCGTCAAAGTGCGCTGATTCAAGTCGCATATTTCATTAGCAACGATAGGCGTGTTCGTGGGTTGTGTTGGGTCACATTGAAACATTTTTTTAGACCCAACTCAATGGTTCGGATTGTCAACTTTTTCAACGATGGTATAGTTTTGTCTCTTTTAACATCAATTTCATTTATTGGACTTAACAAACAACTACACTCGAAGAGTCACTAATATCGAAGGGTCAAATAAAAATTTATTAAACGTAAGGGCAAAATAAGAACAATAATACGACTCCACTATTTTGGAATATTTAAAATAATAATAATACTTAATTTATTTTTAAAATTTTAATTTTTTTTAATAAATTAAAATTTTAAAAGTTTATTGAATTTTTTATATTTTTATATTTTAAAAAGTTTAAAGGGTATTTTTAGAAATTTAATTTATATAATTTTAAATAATAACTAGATTAAAAAAAAAAGTAAATATATAATTGCATATTTAAAATGATATCTTTATCAATTCTAAAAAAAATTAATATATTTTATTTTAATAAATTAAAAAATAAAATATAAAAGATGCTTTCCGAAGCCAAAGGAAATAGTACACGTGTACCCGAGAAATTGAATTATTAAAAACTTTCACTTTATGTTTTTTTTTAAAAAAGAAAATAATAATTTAATAAAAGACAGATAGCGACAAAAAGGGAACACAATAAATAGATAAAGAATATGCTTTCGTTAATAATTTTAAAAAATTAAAATAATTTCTAAAATAATTATTTTTTATTTTTTATTTTTGGTCGTTTGAACCGTCTAAATTATTAGCTTAACAATATCTTATTTATTAAATAAAAAAAAATTATACTAAATTTAAAACTAAAAATATGAGAAAATTGAAATAACAATAATAATGAAAATTGTCACATCAACCACATAAAAAAGAGATTATTTTCAAGAAATGCAATAAAATTAAAAATTGCACTAATTTAAAAGGTGAATAAAAATAAAAATAAAAATAGAAAATAGGAAATTACAAATTTGTCCTTAGATAGAAGACATTAAGCAACCTGTGGGTGATAATGTCTGTCGTTTGTGGGACTGTCAATGAGAACCACAGCTGATAAGTGATAAGTGACATTTTATCATTATTTTATTCTTTACACTTTTAAAAAATATATAAAATAATATAATTAAAAGTTATATTAGCACGCTCGGTAAGGATCACATTGTTACAAATATTCAAACTTGACCTATTACACGATAAAAAAACAAAGAATATTCAACAAACATTCACTTTTATATACAAAATTGGATAGACTTGCTTCAATCGTTATTTCATGTGTTACATGTAGCAGATGAGAATACAAAATTGGATAGACTTGCTTCAATCGTTATTTCATGTGTTACATGTAGCAGATGAGATTACTATAACTAGTAGTAATTTGTTAGAAAATTTTATTTATTATTTTAATTTCATAATTTGTTGCAATGGAAAAAGGTCGGATATTATGAAATGATAGAACAATGTTCCAAATCTTATTTCTAGATCTTTGATATTGAGAGATAATTTAATTCTAGACTTCTCTCTTATGGTGGATCTGAGAAATTTAATATAATGGTACTATACATCTGAGAAATCTTAATTGGCTAGTTGTAAATAGACCCAGACGGTGGAACAAAGGATTATCCCGGACCTACACCGAGGTATTGACGGTGATTCTCAAATATCGCAGAACAGAATTTGATACGATGAGATAGAATGCAATAGAAACAAAGACACAGGGAACGGAACGGGTTACCTACTCTTAACGGTCAAAGCGAACCCTTTCATTCAAAATTCGGAATGAATCAAATCTCCCCAAGTAGGATTCGAACCTACGACCAATCGGTTAACAGCCGACCGCTCTACCACTGAGCTACTGAGGAACAACGATAAATTAGGTTTCAGAGAATTCAATTCCCGTTCTCAACCCATGACCAATATGAGCTCGAGGTTTCCTTCGTAACTCCCGGCCTAAAAGCAAATAACCAAATAAAATATAGTGCCTAAAATTATTTTATGTTAATATTATTATATTTTAAATCATTTAAATAAACTCATATTCCTTCCCTCAATAATATCATATTTAAATATTTATAATTAAAAAAACACTGTGGTTGGGAAAAGGCTTATACTCTTATAAAGAATGTTCTGTTCCTCTCTTCAACCATGTGGGATCTTTGTTGGCACATCACTCGGTGTCTGGCTCTGATACCATTTGTAACAGTTCAAACTCACCGCTAATAGATATTGTCCGTTTTTGCCCGTTACGTATCGTCATCAGCCTCACAGTTTTAAAACGTGTCCACTAGAGAGAGGTTTCCATGCCCTTATAAGGAATACTTTGTTTCCCTTTCCAACTGATGTTCTCGAGCAAATTTTGCTTGTTGATCATGTATTGAATTACCCTTTGACTTGTTGATCTAGTACGTAGGATCAACCCTTAATTTATTGATTTGGTTTATGATTCGATTGAAGTTTTTTTAAGTTTAGTGCAGTTCATACGTCTTAAACTCATATTTTCGTTAATTGAAGAAATAACGTGATACTCGTGATCAGCCAAAATTATTGATTCAATAAGTTCGAAATATAGAACTAAAGCTCGTAATCCGACCAAAGAAAAAATCCATATACAAGAGCAAATAATAACCAATTTGAATTGAAAGAAGGTAACTAAAGGCAAAGGGAAATAATTGTACTTGGATACCAACAAATATTCAAGAAAGATAAACGTGCAAAAAAAAACACTTCGAATAAATAATCCGAACAACCTGAACCTACCCAACTCAAAAAAATTTGGGTTCGGTTAAGTTAGGCTCATTATATAATAAGGTCGTTTGGATTGAAGAAACTTACCATCTGAACAATTGGATTAGGCCTAAAAAATGTCTCAACTCGACCCACAAACATTCTTATTATTTTGTGATCGAGACTCGGTAGCTAACGAAATTTCAAGCTCTTTCAGCAAACACATAAAATTTCATTCCAAAAACAAAAAATTGAACGTACAATATCTCATCAACACCTTTACACGTTTTCTTCGTAGCCAGTTAGCTAAAAGACTTTCTTACCCTCAACTCAAAAATACATGTTTTTATCACTTAAAAAACAAACGATGATCTAAATTTAGGGGTGTGAACATCACCTTGATGCATATTTTCCTTTGAATTTAAGATTTTTCTTGCAAATTTTGAGTCGTGCACGTGAACGATCATAAGTATACATGAGAATATCATATGCTCGTAGTCATCTTGTGGTATGTAATAATTTTAGGGGCAAAAGAGTCATTTTTATAAGAGTTAATAACTTTTGGATAACGTGAAGAAAATGTTCCAAAATGCAGCTATATTTCTCTAAAAGGCAAAATTCCTATTGTGACAGTATTTGTCCTAAATTGGTCGAGCGAAAATTTTATGTTCAAAATTAACCTTGTGAATCGATAATCAAAGCTAGAAGATTTCTTCGTCCCACAAACGACATAAATTCAATCTCATAAGACGTGTCAATCATAAATATGTAAATCGAACCATGTAAATTTACCATAACGTTAAAAGCTATGATATCTCTTTTGTATGGGTAATTAGAGTGTGATTGCGTATTCAAATTGGTTTTGGGCACATCACTGATGTACACCACCTGATGATGGTGATGTGTTTGGAATATTCCCGAGAATAAAAACCGAACTTTTTTTTCTCGTTAAATTACAAGTTTTGTCCTTAAGACTTCCGTGATTCTGTTTAGGAAAAAAAGTTTAAAATATCCTTAAATTTTCGGGTTAATGCAGTTAGATGAACACGACTCTCCACAATGATATGATATTGTCCTTTTTTTAGCATAAGTTCTTGTGAATTTGCTTTAGGTTAAGGATATACATGGTTCAAGTTGGGTTGGGTTGAAGGATTTTTTTGACCAAACCCAAAAGTTCGGGTTGGTTGGATTGGTAACCCAACCCAACCCTCTATTTTCGGGTTAGGGTGTCTAGTTGTTAAATTTTTTTTTTAAAGTTTTATTTATCCATAATTTATAATTATTGTGATAACATCTTAGATAAAATATATTAAAACTTCACAAACAAACACAAATAGATCTATAATTATTTACATAAAAAATCAATAAAAAACAACGAGTGAAAATGGTAATATATTAACATAATAGTTCTTATTTACATACAAAAATCAATAAAAAAAACAACAAGCGAAAATTGTAACATATTAACCTAGTTCAATTTTGTCATAAAATTAAAGACAACTAAATACTGACATGATAGATGTTAGAAGCCCTAAAAATATATAAATAAAATAATAAAAAAAATTATAAATATCCGTGGAGTCGAACTCTTAGTTCTTCTTCACATAAAAAAATCAATAAAAAACAACAAGCGAAAACGGTAACATATTAACATAGTTCAACATTGTCATAAAACTAAAGACACCTAAATACCGACAAAACATTTCTAAAGATAGATGTTAAAGAGCCCTAAGAAATATAAACAAAATAATAATAATAAAAAATTTATATATCCCTAGAATTGAACTCGAGCTTCTAAGAAATATAAACAAAATAATAATAATAAAAAATTATATATCCCTGGAATCGAACTCGAGCGTCTAAAAAATATAAACAAAATAATAATAAAAAAAAATTATATATCCTTGGAATCGAACTCGAGCTTCTAAGAAATATAAACAAAATAATAATAATAATAAATTTATATATCCCTGGAATCGAACTCGAGCGTCTAAGAAATATAAACAAAATAATAATAATAAAAAATTATATATCCTTGAAATCGAACTCTAAGCTATAAACAAAATAATAATTATAATGTCTAGATTCTATGAACCAACTATATATTTATTTATTTATTTATTTATTTTATATGATAAATATAATAGTAAGATTCCTTCCCTCTTTCCACACATGAATTTTGCCAGCTAAATAATTAAATAAAGACGTCATCTCTCATTTCTTTAATTATTAATTAAGTTGTAATTATTAATGTAATAATTACACTTCAACTAAATTTATTTAACAATAATTAACGTTTACTTAAAATTTAATGTGGTAATAAATAATAAAATAATTTTATAATGGATATAAATAAAATAATTTCGTTGCATAAATTTTTTTTCTCGTGTTTATACCATATTTTTTAGCTACATTTATTATTTTTCAAGATGGATAATAAGAACGGTTCTTTCTCTTACGTCTATTCAATTTATTTATTATCTCTTTTCCTTTTCATGACTTTCCTTGACGGAGAAGCATCGAGTAAAGTCGTCGTCAAAATATTAAAATAAATTAATAAATATTACACTTGAATAAGTGTCATAATATTTATTTGTAAATTAAATATTTTTTTTTTGTTTTTATATTTAATTGAGATTTGTAAATATATATTTAATTCTATTTTATTTTTTAAAAATAAAATTTTCCCTTATTTTCTAATTAATTAAAATGGTATATATGAAAAAGATTGAAATAACCTTTTGGGCTTGGGCTTGGGCTTGGGCTTGGGCTGAGCCCATTTGTTTCTGAACCTTAGCCCATCTTCTTGGCCCAATAATTTTTATTTTATTTTATTCTTTTAATTAAAGGTGATGAGTTTAGATTGGGTTAGGTTCATAAGGATTGATTGTGTTGGAAAAAACAAATTCAAATTTATTATTAATTTTAAGATAATACATATATTCATTTAATTTCATAATTATTTTTTTATTATTTATTCTCACCCTCTAAAATTAAAATATACCAACATTGAAAATTTTAGATAAATATTTAAAAATAAATAAATAATTTTTTACGAACTAACCTATTATTTTTTATTATAAATAAATTACTCAAATAATCCGATAAATCAAACTTAAAAATTATAAATTTGATTAATTATTGAATATATTAAGACGTGGTTGAAATTGTCATTTAATATTTAAATAATATAATTAAAGTATTGGAATTTATGTCTTAAAACTTCATAATTAATTATTTAATTTTAAATAATAATTTTAATTATTTTATTTACCATTTAAAATTACTGTGAGATTATTAGGGTAATTCTAAAAATACTCATCTATTTATTTACTGTACATGAAAATAGTAAATTTCATCTCCAAATTTTTTTTATATAAATTTTATTTTTTTTTTATGTATATATAAAAAATGAGTAAGAAAATTAATGAAATGAAATTCATTAAAACAAATTGCCCATTCATTAAAACAAATTAATGAAATGCAATTTTTGGAAGTTTGTTGTAGAATTTAGAGTGAATATAGTTCGAACACATCTGGGTTTGAGAATCTTTTGAACCAACCCGAAATTTTGAGTTTTTGAGTTGGATGGGTCGGAGACCAGAGTAACTCAAATAGGTTCGGTTGGGTTGTGAACTATATTCGAGTTACTCCATGCACCAACTAATTCAACCCGAAATTTCTTGTAAAAAAGATTATCCAGGTTAAATTGGGTTGTCGAATTATTCTTTTATTCAGCTAAATAATTACAATACATATTACATTCATGATTAAAATCTGGTAATATTCAAATATCAAACATTCACGAGCTACAACACACTGTTATTATCGGTTACCAATATCAAAACTCTTTTAAAATATATTTTAAAACTTTTAATTTATGTTTAATATATTAAAATTATTTTTTAATTCAGGCTAAATTCACTCCACTAATTAAATATTTATAAAAAGAAAATAAATTTATCCCTACAAAATTAAAAAAAAATTGAAATACATTTTTTAAATATTTTTATTTATTTTTTACAAACCATATATTATTTATTTATTTTTTCTCTGTTCTTCATTTCTATTGAACTTGTGCCCTAATTCTCTGTTCTTGGTTTATGATTTGGTAATTTTACAAACCCTAATCCCAAATTTATTTCATATACAAATTTATAATTTAATAATAGAAGCTATGATTTATTTTGAGAGTTAAAATGAAAATTGTAATGGAGGAGATAACAATTTGTAATTCCAAAAAAATTTCGACTCTACCAAAAATCAAGATTTCATCCCACCCGAATCGATCGAAAGCTTCTCCCTCTTTCAACCGTTTTGGATTTTGGAAGAGAGAGAAGAAGAGGAAGAAGATTAAAGATGACCGTTCGATGGATTGTGATCTACAGTTTCCAGTTTCACTCTTCAAAGACTCCATTTCCATTTCCATTTCCCTTCAAGTTTTTCTAGTTTTTCGAGCCGAAATCTCCCACTTTAAGCTTTCCTCGTCCCTTTTCCATCGCCGTCTTCACTTTGATTCCTTCTAATCAGCAGCGCCAGGTAATTTTCTCTCTATTCTTTCATTTTTTATATGATTTTTCAGTGTTTTTTATTTTTTTGCCTCGTTGATGTTGTTTGAATATGAAATCTTCGATTTCCGAGAAGTTTTTCGCCATTTTCATTGCGTTTTTCGATCGTATTCATTGTTTTTGTTGTTCTTGCGGATATGTTTTCGCGTTTTTGTTCGGCGATTCTCCGTTTTCACTCTCTAGCTGTGATTAGGGTTTTTTTTTTTTTTTTTTTTTTTTTTTTTTTTTTTTTTATTTCATTTGTTCCGCGATTGTTCAGGATGGATTTTGCGCGATGTACTGATGAATCTAAGGAATCGGATCAGTCGCCGAGCAAATGTTGCAGTAAAGACGAAGCTCAGCCGGAGATTGTTGAGCTACGAGCTCCGATTGAGCCTTCAACGCCTGATGCCGATAGAGAGAGTAGCGATTTTCCTTCTGATTCGAAATCCCCACTCACTCAGGTTGTGACTAGCAGAGCTCTTGTATTGAGCTCTTCTGATCCTTTAGAGCCTCCTCTTTGTAGCCCTCGCACTCCCAAGGATGGTGTTTTTGATCCCTTTTCCCCTGGCCCTGCTCATTTGGCTTTAGCTCCTCTCTGTAGAAAGTGTTTTAGTGGCTCTGTTGGATTTGTTGCTCGTCGCCTTCAGTTTGATTCTTCTTCTTCTGCTTCTTCTTCTTCTTCATTGCAGTTCGTGGAATCTGAAGAAGAACAAACCATTACTGATAGTGAGCTCTTGGAGGCTGTTTATGAAAATCTCTTGGAACTGATTATCTCCCATCAGGCTGAATCTTCTCTTGCTATGATCACAAGCTCTCATACTGATTCTCTTGATTGTAATACCCCTCCTGCTTCATTCATAACTGGGATTGCTCAAACTTGTCCCGCTGCGCCTGTTAAGCCCTCGAGAAAATCGCGCAATTTGGACTTGGGTTTGTGCCGAAAGCTCGAGTTCTGAATCTTGGTGCTCTTCTGGTTGACTGCTGATGATTATTGCATTGAAGAATGTAGGTAACTGACTCTTGAGATGAATTACTTGCTAATTCGAACGTCTGACGTTTCTGTACTGAATTATATGACTGGCATAATCTCTGCTGAAGCAGATCGATTATTGTAAATTTTGGAAGTCTTGTTTTTTTTGATGAACATGCTTGTCGGGTTGGATGAAGTCCTGTGATCTTGACCAATAAGCCAGTTCTTTTGTTCTTTTGTTAACCTAATCAGCAAGTTGTTAATATGATGGCATTGTTCTTCCTTTAGCTCCTAGGCAAAGATGCACTTATAGAATCTTGAATTGGTTACTGGTATCACTTTTGTTTTTCGTTTATTGAACGTTCTGCAGTTTTTCGTATTACTTCGAAACTCTTAGCTCCTAGGCAAAGATGCACTTATAGAAATCCTGAATTGGTTACTGGTAATCACTTTTGTGTTTCGTATATTGAACGTTCTTCAGTTTTTCGTAATGATTTGAACGTTCTTCTGTTTGAACGTCCTGAATTAGTTACTATATTGAATGTTTCTTAATGATCTGAACGTTCTTCAGTTTTTTGTATTACTTCGAAACCTTTAGCAATTTCATCACAAATTAGTTCAAGACTGAAATATGCTTGTGGGAATCAAACTGTTAAGAATCAAGACAGTTTGCTAGTCTCGAGCATATGAAGTGACATAGGATTACTAGTCGGTTTACTTTTGTTCTATCAGGATTGTACCATTTCTAGCCCACCCTCTTACATTGAACGTTCCTTAATGATTCAAACGTTCTTCAGTTTTTCGTATTAATTTGAAACCTTAAGCTATTTCACACATTTGCTTGTGGGAATCAAACTACCATCAAGCTGGTGAGAATTGAGACAGTTTGCTAGTCTCGAGCATATGAATTGACATAGGATTACTACTCGGTTTTCTATTCATCATTTGATATCTCTCGATTGCATCCGGTGTTCGAAAATGAATGATGATTGGAACTCCCAGGATGATTCTGTTGTAGAATATTAGAACTGAATTGTTCTTCAGGTCCTCCAGAAATGGATTGATGCAAACAAGATGAAGAAAGTGATGATGCTTACATTAACAATGATGGGGCACTGATACGAGAAGTGTTAAGGTATGTGAAGGCCTATTCTTTGCCTTATCATTTTGTTACTTATCATTGTTAAAACCTGATGGCTTGCCTCTTTTTAACAGCAAAGAACTAAGAAGAGGGATTGGTGGCAGTCGGATTCTCTTTCCTAGGCGTTCATAGGCGTTGCTCGCTTCTCTCGTGCAGACAGAAAGTAGCAATGGTCAGCAATGGGTATAGTTATGGCCTTGAAAGTTCGTTAACTTTTGAGATTTGATAGTTCTAAGTTACTTTTCATTGGAGGTTACTTGTTTATCTAGCTGAGTTAAATGTTGACTTCGAAATAAACTACTCGAGGTTGGCTTAGTTTAGTAGTCGTTATAGCGAGGGGATGAAGTAAAGACTTTGTGGGAATGGATTCGAATTTATTGGTGATCATCTGCCTAGAACTTAGAACTCGAGTTATCGACCGAAAAAGTCCTATGAGTTTTATGACAACGAAGTTGAATACTTAAACTGACTTGAGCACTCACGAGTGGGCCCCGAATACCAAAGAGCTCGGAAGAAGAGAACGAAACTAGTACTTATAAGAGATGGTTTTTTTTTGTGTTTCCCATGGCTGCAACACAACAAAGTTTTAAGCGTTCAATGTTACGTCATGATTAGGGAAGAATGGTTTTGTTTCACTATATTGTTTTTGTGTTAAACACCGTCCCAACTATGTATAATTATAACTATAATTAGGTTTCGATTGGAGAGGGGAACGAACCATTCCTTAAAGGTGCGAAAGCTTCTTCCTAATAGACAGCTTTTTAAAACCCGGGGAGGAGGCTAAAGTAAACAATATTTGCTAGCTAGTCTTAATCCTAATCTATATGCCTTTAGTTCGATAACTAACGAAATAATTATAAATAGAAAATTAATAAACTTGAATCTAACTTTATTTTCACATCAACCCATTAAAATTTTAATTAATGTTTCAAATTATTAAATTTCAGTTTAAATGATTTTATTTTTAACAGAAAATGTTTTCTTGTAATTTTTTACTTTAGTTTTTTACTAAATTATTTTAATTATTAGCACAACTTAAAATATTATATACATTAAATGATAAACTAAATTTTTTATATTTTTAAAACAATTGGGTTGAATTTTTTTTTTCTTTCATATTTTTAAAGAAATCATTTCACTTTATATCTAAAATTTCATAAAAAAAATAAATAATAAAAAAGTTAAAAGTTAAAATTTTTAAATCTTTCTTTAAATTTTCAAAACTATCTCTAAAAATACACAATTAATAGTATTTATAAGTTTAATTAAAAAAAAAAGTTCTTTTTTGAAAAAGAAAACATCTGAAAACTATAAATATATATATATATATATATATATATATTGTAAGTAATCAACAAGATGATTTTTTAAATAAAAAATTAAAGAGGAAATCCTTATGGAATTAAAGAAATATCATTAAATATTAGACTAGAATCATCATGGAACTAAAAAAATGACATTAAATATCGGAACTTTTCCATTTAGAATTTTCAAAAACTAATTAATTAATTGCATCACAAGAGACAGCGATTGTGCGACACTTGTTGTATAATATAAGCTCTGATGATAAATATGTTCGAGTATGAGTTACATTTGAAAAAAATATTTTACAAAACAAGAGTGAGGAAATACATTGATAATAATGTATCTAGTTGATAATATAAAGTTGTGGCGAAAATCCAAATCATAGACATCCAAGATGGTCGATGTACTACGAACACTTGGAAGTTGAAGTTCTAATCCCAAGCCAGTCGGGTGAGATTCGAGTTTCACATATAATATTGGCATATGCATGAACTTAAAGTATCACATTTGAGAGAAATGTTTTACAAAACGTGAACGAGAAAATATATTCACAACTATACAGATACATGGACTATGGACACAATTATAAAGGTCCAAAAAAAATGGCAAACAAACTGTAAGGGATGGAGATGTGAAGTTCAAAAATAGTAACAAAAATGGCGAACCAATCAATTAGAAGAACAGTGTAAAAACAGCCCTAAATCAACCTCGAAATCAGTTGAAGAAGAAAAAAAAAACAATTAATCAGATCTTAGTATGGTAATTACACTGTTGATCTTTAATATTTCTCTCCGATATGTTAATACTGAAATCACACGATGTTGTAGAAACCATATGAATATTGAAAATCCCCAAAATCATCACCTTACCTGAAACTTTCGCGTACGCATTCAACGGCATCGATCCGGCTACGACATCGAAGAACACCGTCGACGTTTTCACAAACCGATCTGCCAAAATCCTCAACCTAATGTTCATCTGCGTGGTCTGACCTGCATCTATTTGCGCGGCCAGAATCGGCACCTCGCCAACCAGTTCGCCTCTGTAATTGAAAAACGCGGTGCTATTCGAGTAGCTAAATCCGACCTTGTTAGGGTTCGTAATAGCGACATCGGCAATCAGAGTGATGTTGAAATCGACAGAGGTTCTGACTACGCTCAACGACATGTCGAAATCGTCAATGGAGACGGAATTGATGGTGGTGATAGGGCGCTTTGGCTTGAACACCGTGAAGGCTAAAATGACGATTATAACGACGACGAGGAGGACGACGGCGACGACGACGGAGACTCCGATGCAAAGGTTGCGGCGACTCCGGGAGCTTGCGGTGGCGTCGACGACGGATTTAGTGGATTTGGAATCCTTGATTAAGGTAGATGTGGAGGAGGAGGCAACTTCCATGGCGGTGCTCGGATTTTGGGAGAGAAATTGAGATGAGATTGGAGATTTTATGGTGCAATTGAAATTGGGATCTAACTCTCAACTAATTGAAATTAATTGGAGTTGATGGAGAAAAAACTCCCCATCTTTAATTTGGTTCTTCTTCTCCCTCTTTTAAATCAATTTTTTTTTAGCTAAATTAATAAAAATATCATTAAAATTTTAAATATTATATGACAACGACGAGACCAGTGAGTGAGACTCAAGTCTCATTCACATTTTTTAGCTCGATTTCGTGGGTTTGTCAGACCGTCGACCTGATTTGTCTTCACCAATTTAATATTATTTGTGTGGAATCCAAGCATGTTCGACCACACAGGGCTAGTGCGTATATGTTCGGATCTTATTTTCATCTCAGTTCCCAATAACACGATCCATGCATTGTGGTGTCGTCCCATGTCTCGGGATGTATAGCCATCTTAGCTTGCTCGAACACGTCCATTGGAAACTGACCCATGTGTCGATCAACATGTAATACTAAGATACTTATTTTATTTTATTTTATTTTATTCATATTTTTTAAAACTATATTTAAAAATTAAATTAAATATTTAGAAAACTACTAGAATGTTCTATTATTATAAACGTGAGAAATATATTAAATTATGTATAAAAAGAAAAAACTCACGATGGCCACATGATTATCTTAATGAAATTAAATTCTTTGACTTTTTAATTAAAAAATTCACGAATTTTATTCATAAATAATTCAAATTTTATAGGTAATGGGTAATTTAATTTTTTAATTTTTTTATTAAACATTTTAAAATTTAAAATTGATCCAAATTTCAAAATTAAACTTATAATTTAACAAAATAAATGAATAAAAAATTTAAAATTATAACTTTTTTAATTAATTTTTTGTGCGGGTGAAATACAAAATTGACCCAAAAAAAAAAAAAACCAATTGAAAAAATTTATATATATATATATAGATATTTTTTAATACTGGGTCAGATCTCATATTGATTAGAGAGGAATACGAACCATTTATTTTTATAAGGGTGTGGAAACCTTCTCTTACCAGACAACATTTTAAAAACGTTGAGGGGAAGTTCAAAAGGGAAAATACAAAGAGGATAATATTGGTCAGTGGTGGAGATGAGCTATTACAAATAGGATCAGAGTTAGACACTAGGTGGTGTGCCAGTAAGGACACTGAGTCCTGAAGTAGATGGACACTAGGTGGTGCGCCAGCAATGACGCTGGATCCCGAAGAGGGTGGACACGGGGCGGTGTGTCAATGAGGATGCTAAGCCCCGAAGAGGATAGACACGGGGTAGTGTGGGAGCGAGGACGTTGGGTCCAAAAGGGGGTGGACGATGAGATCATGAATGGATTGAAGAGAGGATCAAGTGCTAATGAGAATTGTAATAATTAACAATATTGTAATTTCCTAGTTGTAGTTTTAATTTTATTTTAAATTAATTATTAATAATTAATTTTACAGTAAATTAATGATATTATTGTCAAAACATTTAGGTATATAATAAATGTATTTATTTTGTTAGTTTGACAAAAAATGAAAATTATTTAGCAATTAAAAGTTAAAATATTTATTCTTTTTATTTTATCCAGCTGAATTAAAGTTCCAATTAAATCGTTTAAATACATTAATGAAAATATTAATATTACACCAATAATATTCTCTAATAAAAACTTTTCGCTCCCAATAAAGACGAAATCAAACCCAAACAAAATAAAACAAAACATTGAAAATGTAACGGTAAAATTTCGTAAAAGACATATAACACTAATATAAAAATTTCTATGTTTTTTACCCACGGATAAAATGGTACGAGATACAACAGGATAAAAAATCAACCCTAAAAGAATACATCTAACTGATACCTCCGGTCGATACTCCTCTAAGGCTGATGACGATATGTAACGGGCCAAAACGGACGATATTTGCAAAAGGTGTAAGAGCCTGTCCATGTCCAAGGGGTGGGATTGTGAGATTCCAGCTCGGTTGAAGAGGCGAACGAAACATTATTTATAAAGGTGTGGAAACCACTCCCTAGTAAATACGTTTTAAAATCGTGAGACTAACAGCGATACGAAACAGACCCAAAATAGATAATATCTGGTAGTAGTGAGTTCAGAGTTTTACAGGGAGAGAGACCAAATGAAATAAATGATTGATATTATTATTATTTTTTTGGGAGAAGATCACGTGCAGATCACGTGCAGGATAAATACGGTGTTTATATTAATTTAGAATTTTAAATCCTGTTCTTATTATTCCCTTTCCCTCTTCCCCCTCTTCTTCTCCATCGCCTCTCGTTTCTTCCTAACGATGTTAGGTGTTCAATCCAATCTGACTTCACTTGGACTCTACTGACACTCTCCAACTTCCGGCACCGGCGGCCTCACTCCGCCGCCTCACCGGAGATACTCCCCTTCATCTTCCCTTTTTACTTCCCGGTGAGTTTTTTTCTCTGCTCTAGGGTTTCAAGATTTCACAATTCCACCTCTTGTATTTGCCTCGATCGCGCCGCGTTTTCGGCTTCTTTTGTCCAATTGAATTCCTCCCTGGGTTTAAAACTTCTGGTTACCCCGATTTGTTTTGGTAATTGGGGATTTCTTTTGAGGGTTATGTGAATTTCGTTCCTACTTGGAACGAGGAGAAGTTGGCGGTTGTTGTTAGGGGCGAAAACTCATGGAAGGGAGGAGGATTTCGGCGAGTCCTCGGGTTTGTTCTGGTCGGCGTATTTTGGCTAAGAAACGGACTCGGGTTGATGGGTTTGTTAATAGTGTGAAGAAGCTGCAGAGACGGGAGATTTGCTCGAAGCGCGATCGTGCTTTTAGTATGAGTAATGCCCAAGAGAGATTTCGCAACATGCGTTTGATGGTCAGTTGTTTTTCATTTTGTATTTTGTGCTTTTTGGCTGTTCTTTCCTATGATACATACTTGTCTCGCTCGTTGCTGATTCATTTCGTCTAGCTACTACTACTAGATGTTGTTTTTTTTTTAACCCTAAGCCCACCTTATAGTTCTTCCTCCTTCGTGGGATATCTT